CTTGAAATTTCAGTCACCTTTGTTCCTTTGTTTATTGCTTTGAATTGGCACCTAAGGCGGGAAAAAGTGACCGAGAAGTATGAAACTCGCAGGTACTTCTAAAAAAAAGCCACCAACTTTACTCATTTGAAATAACAAGTATATCGTTAGTAAGAAAGGTTACAATTTAATCTAAAGGCTCCTCAAACCAACCAACTGTTGTTTGAATTTAGCCAGCCTAGCAGGCTCATGAGCGACTTTATTAGCTACTCCATCACAATAATGCTCAAACCTAGAAGTAAAGAAATCACAAGCAAAATGATAACAGTCGCCAAAAACCGCCGTCGCCGCACCTGCTAATTGTCCTCCATTCTTCATGATGTCAATGACCTCCAAATTACCAAAGTTAACAACAAGGCTGTCGGCCCGGTGGGAACCAGGTTACCACGAGCCACCTGCCTACGGCCCAGGAAGGGCCCCTCGGACCAGCTCATGGGGCAGCCCACCAACGGGCGCCGCGAAGCCAACAGTCTTGTGAGGGCCCTGCCCCGCGAGGGGTTGTCTCCTATGTAGGACATCAACGAAACTACCATTAGTACAAGCGTCCTCGCGAGGCCTCCTTCGCGAGGCGCCCTCTCTCGAGGCCTCCCGAGGAGCCATGTCACATGTGTGACATCGTCCAGGCAGGCGCTAGCCTGCGCGGCCAGGACAGTTTCCCCTTCGGTGTTAAGGGGGAATCTGTGCCTACCTGCCCCCAAACCTAGTCCCAAAGCTTTCCCCTTCGGTGATAGAAGACCAAGATGGTGGCGCGGCATGCCGTAGGTCAACGTGGAGCACCTGGCGCGTCATGGATAAGACCTTTTGCAGGCAAAGACCACCTTTCGTTAGGAGAAGCACCGGCGCCTGTCCCCTTTTAAATTGCCGCCCTGTGGTAGCCCTTTCTCGCTCATATTTTCAGGGAAGAGGCGCAAGGCATCTATATAAGGTACAGAGCGGCTACTATAGCATGGGATCGACTCATACCCAAACCCTAGCGCCGTTGTTAAAACCCAAAGAGCTCCAGCTCTCCCTGTAGCTCTAAGAGCACTGTCCACAAGCAATACAACGAATCGGGAGTAGGGTATTACACCGCACGATGGCCCGAACCTGGGTAGCTCTTTGTGTCCTTGTCGCGATTAGCTCGTAGCCTAGTAGATGCAAAGCCATGCCCCTAGAGCTCGAACCCGTGGTTCGGAATCAATCCCCCGACAAAGGCGGTTGCATCCCGCCCTTTGTGCAAGTGATAGACCAAATCTGAGAGCCAAAGCTTCAGACATTAGGATATTTGCACACCAATCTATCCTCCCACCCCCAATGAATTTGCCGCTATCATCCCTTAGGACTGCCCCAACAGTGCCCCTAAGCAGGTCTTAATCAAATTATGCATCAACATTTAGTTTGGCAAAGCCACCATGGGCCCTAGCCTAGCCCCTTTTTTCATGTAAGCATTTGGAAAAGAAGCACTAACAAAGCTAGTCATGCGCGTACTAATCTCCATAGAGATCTAGAAAGCAATCTGAACTTTCTCATCATGGACCAATTCATGTCTTTCACACCACGAATACAAGGGCATTAATTGTCGGGACCACGATTCTAAGTCACACCGATCTAGCAAATAACACATCATATCACTTTGCGGCCTCACACAAGGTAACCCATAGCTGCCGCCTTTACCTTGGTCGGGACCGTTTGCGTATTTTGGCTCACGTATATGACTGTGATCCTAGGATCCATATGACAGAGAACCAGGGTTGACATGACTAATCATCAACCAAGGTGGCACAAACGTACAAGGACATGCATACGTTACTCATCAATCCACGTGTTGGTCATCAGTGTGTGAAACCGAGTCATAGCAACCTATAAGGAATCCAGTAAACACCGCGTGACATTTCCCCGTAGGGACAGACACGGGAGCAAAGAAGGATACATGCTGATCAATCCATGTGTTCTGGAGCATTAGCGAACTACCGGGGCTCAATGGAAGCACTAGGAGGCATTTCCCTATAGGAAAGGCTACCAAAGGTAGATAACCAGGTGTCAAATCCCACACATACCAATGCATTTAGAACATACACACAATATGCATGATATGTGTAGATATAACATGGCATCACAATATAACTCTATGACTCAAAGTATTTATTTAAAAGGCTCAGAAGAGCCATACATAACATGATATTACAAACTTGGGCCTCATGAACCAGCATACAAAGTCATAGGAGCAACGGAAGCATAAACATGTCTTAGTACAAATAACTACAAAAGAAAAAGGCTAAGAAGCCTGATTACGCACGAGACCCTCCAAAGGTACAAGATTGTAGCTAGGAAACGAGCTATTCTGTCAACATTGATTTCCATGTGGAACTACTAGTAAGACCGAACTGTCCTCTACGAAACATAAATTAAGCAACAATGAGTAAGAAGGTACTGAGCAAGACTTACATCAGAACTAACTACATATGGATCATTATTAAGAAGGGTGTTGTGGGGTTAACTACAGCAAGCCAGCTTTGACTCAGTGGCTATCATGTACTTCGACTTTGTTTGAGGTGAGAAAGCGCGCACGAGTCCACTACTCACAACAACAATACACCACTATGGATCCGCTCCCATCTCCCTACGAGAAGGACATCCATAGCACTCATGCTTATCTTGCGCATTTTAGAGTATCCCTTCAAGTTGTTTATTAACCATATAAGTCTCCAAGTAGTCCATATCCGAGGACGTGACTATTTGAAAATAGTTCTATAACCCTGCAGGGGTGCACTTCTTGACACAAGCTCTCACCACTTACCACCATATACACGCCTTGTATCTCGGCAACCTTCAAGCGGAAGCCTGGCGAGGGTGTCAGCTAAAAACTGACTAACCACACAATACTCTGGTCCGGGTTTATCGCCTATTTGAGAACTAAACCTGCAACGGAAGTCCAACCAAAGTTTCCATCATGACCCAAACGATGTGTGCAGGGTTCCCAAGCACACCATTCGGGTGCCACTCGGTACACTGGGCCACTGTGCCTAATCTGTCCCAAGCCTCCCCTATCAGGTGCCACTTGGTCGACCAACAACACGACCTACAAACACCAGAAACTAGTTGCAACTCCTTGACATAGATCAAGGCGATTAATAAGCTAAGAGGGGTTCAATTACCGGAACCCAATGTGTGATAGTAGCTAGTCTTGGATAACATAAACATAACTAAGTTCTTAAGGACGGTCTCAATAATATAACCCACCATGTACTCCTACATGTCCTCTCATCAGTACCTTTATCAAATCATGTTCACACACTTGGCTCTCAACATCAGAACATGATCACAATACCAATTCATCCCCCGATGAATCAGACCTGACACAACTCTATGAAATAGCCGGCATGGCATGGATAAAGTCACATCATGGCCTA